TCCCTTCTTCCTCGGGCGCCCAGCATGCGCCGTCCGCGGCGCATCAGACATCGATGGCGTCTCTGGATTGCAGGGGCCACGAGCGCAGTTCGTGGACAAATAACGCCGCCCCCAACAAGCCTTTGACTTATTTTCGGGGGCCGCGAAAGACGCGGGGCGCTGTGGGGGGGCAGTTTGATTATGTTGCGCTAAGGATTTCGATTTCGATCAACGGGGTGTCCAGAGCGAGCTTCAGGGGGGGTCGCTCCGCGTGGGAGGGCCCCCCCCCCCGCGCGCTTCCGATCACATTCGCAATTCAGTCTCAAACTAAACGCTTGTCTTTTCAATTGTTTGGAAGCAGCGTTGGTCCGGGACCGCTGTGGAACCGTCGGGAAAGCAATTTTGGCGAGAAGCACCCAAGCGGTTTGCCGTTTTGGAACTGCCGTCCCATTGTTGCGAGCCGGATCTGAAACTTGACGTCGAGCGAAGTCCCGCGCGAAATTGTAATTTTGCTTCTGTTGCGAACCGGATGCTTATATTTTCGAGCCGAGTTCGCATTTGCAAAACGACATATTTTGCGAGGGTGTCCTACGCGGTATGCCGTTATCCAACCGCCATCCCGCTTAGTTGAATTAAAACTTGAGTTGGGAGACCAAGCCCGAAAGCTGCCCTCCGCCCCAATGTGAGGCACCTCCCCCGCAACATTGTACCCGGCTCTACGTCCTTCACAGGGCGACTAGCAACGCGCGGTCGCATTGCGAACGCAGTGCGCAAATTTCGCTGCCCATTTTCATCGCGGCACAGTACGAGAACACTTGCACCGGCTTCCCCCAAGTCCCAAGCCGCGACTCCGTGCGCCCGCCGATTTCGGGCAGGCGGTCGTTTCTCCACCTTTTGCCCCCTGCACCGCGCTCGCGCGGCTTGCTGCCAAGCCGCTCGGTCGCGTCTCGCCATTGGCCCGCCCGCCGCTCTCTGCGGGCAATACTTCTGTCTATATCCACTGCAGCATGGAGTTTCGGGCCCCCTTCCCAAGAAACCCGAGGCGCACTGGATATGGATAAATTGGCCCCCAAGGGCTCGATCCTTAATCCATATCCAGTGCGCCTCGGCCTTGTGGCGCCGCTTCCAAAAAAGTCCAAGAGGCACTGGACATGGATATGAGTCTTGCACGCACTCTCCTCCTCGGGGCCGCTCCCGCCGCTGCTCCGGCGCCAGCGTGCGCCCTTGACCCGCCGACGGCCCCCGCGCCCCTGCTTCCCCCCTGCCTGGCGCCCCGGCTCTCCGGCCGCCCGCCGCCCCCCCTCCCCACTTGCCGGGCTACTCCTCCTCCTCCTCCTCTTCCTCCTCCTCCTCCTCCTGAAGAGAGCTCTTCGATTTCTTCCAGAAGAGTATGGATCTGACCCTCTCGCTTCCTTCCTCCCTCACCGTTTCCCCAATGATCTTGATTCTATGCTTTCCTGTGCCATTGCTCTCGACGCCCTGCATAGCTCGTACCAATCTCTTCGTGCCTCCGCCCGCCCCCCCTCCTCTGCCTTCACCCGTGCTCTCATCGTGGCACGGCTGCGTGCGGCGGCACGCCGCTGCCAACGGGCAGCCGATCTCCTCAGAGGCGCGCCGCCCGCGCCCCCGCCCCCGCCTGCCGCCGCCGCCAGTTGACCTTCTCTGGACTCGGATTTCTTTTCCTCTCCCCTTCGCTTCTTGTCCGCTCTCTCTTGTCCTTTGCTCGCGTCGTGTCCGCTCTCTCTCTTCTTCGGCCAGTGCTACTCCTCCTCCTCCTCCTCCTCCTCCTCCTCCTCCTCCTCCTCCTCCTCCTCCTCCTCCTCCTCCTCCTCCTCCTCCTCCTCCTCCTCCTCCTCCTCCTCCTCCTCCTCCCTGCTGGTCAGGAGCAGCGTTGGGCCACCTCAGACCCCCCGGCTGGCTCCAAGTCTGGGCGCCAGCGCCGCCTCCGCCCAGCGGTCGGGCCCAGCGCAGCAGCCGGCGCGCCGGCCCCACGCCCCACCTTGGGTTCGTCGCGGCGCTGCCCCGCGACAGCTGCCAGGGGCTGCCCTTCAGCCCGGCCGCGCCCGCGCGCTCACCGCAGCCCCGCCGAGTGAGACTGCATTCGCACCCGGTTCCCCCTCCCCGCGGCCGCTCCCTCGCTTCCCCCCCCGTACCCCCGCGCGCAGGTTGAGTTGCGATTCCGTGCCCGTGTCTCGCCCTGGCGCGCGCGGATTGCGTCCGCCGCGCTGCGACGTAAACAGGCATTGTGACTGCTGCGGTGCTCACCGGCCCCGCGGTGCCAGAGCCACGCGGCGGGGGGGGCTGGGGGCGGTGCACCACGCACTTCCCCCCCCATGGCGCCCGTTGTGGGATGCGATTCATAATGCGTTTTCTTCTTCGAGTATATACATAAAGAGAGAGAGAGAGAGAGAGAGAGAGAGAAAGAGAGAGAGAGAGATATATATATATATATATAAAGAGAGAGAGAGAGAGAGAGAGAGAGAGAGAGAGAGAGAGAGAGAGAGAGAGAGAGAGAGAGAGAGAAAGAGAGAGAGACAGAGACAGAGACAGAGACAGAGACAGAGACAGAGAGACAGAGAGAGAGAGACAGAGAAAAACATAACGAGAGAGAGAGAGAGAGAGAGAGCGTGTGAGAGAGAGGCAGAGCCCACGTGCCCCACCCGACACGCAAAGGGCCATGCTTGTCTTTGCTTGCGTCCGCGCTGCACTGCGATCCTACTCCTCGTCCTTCTCGTCCCCCCGCATCCGTAGCCATTTTGTCAGGAGGGAAAGAAACACACAGACACAATTAATCTTCGATTTCCCAGAAAAAATATGGGAAAATATGGGAAGTGGGGGGGAAGACGAAAGTCCCCAAAAAATATTGAAAAATATTGGGGAACCTTTTATTCGTGTGTATTTACTTGTGTGTATTTATTTTGGCCCAAGCCAGTGGGCTGTGAACTGGCAACGACCGGGGGGGCGCGGAGCGCCTCGCGACAATTGGCGGGCAGCGATGGCCGAGGCGCGTGCGCAGTGGACCTGCGAAAAGACCTGCGGTGGCACAGGCAGCCCTTGGTGCAGGCGCGGAGCGCCTCGCGACAATTGGCGGGCAGCGATGGCCGAGGCGCGTGCGCAGCGGACCTGCGAAAATACCTGCGGTGGCACAGGCAGCCTTTGGTGCAGGTGCGGCAGGGTTATCAGGAGCGAAAGAAGGACGTACATGTACATGAATCCACGCTGGTTTCGAGAGCACGCATTGCGCAGATGTTCGTATCACGCGGCCGGTCTCGCGAATCGAGGGGCCGTGTTCATGTACATAGCTGGGCGCGTACGTCCTTTGTGGGCTCCCTAGGTTAGCGAGTGCAGGAAATTCGAAGGCGGCAAGCACCGCCATTGCAGCAGCAGCGTTAGGAGCAGCAAAACGACCCGCAGCAGGGCCTGGCGCAGCAACGGTCCGAGGAGTGGACCTTCTCGGAAAGTGGGAGGGCGCGCTGGACGTGGGCAAAACCTTGAGCATGGACCGCAGACCAAGCACCTCCGCGGCGAAGGAATTGCCTCGAGCGCGTGGCCCAGAAAACCAGGGGGTGGCGTCCAGGCCAGAGGCCTTCGGAAACGCCCCGAAACGTGGCAGGCCACCCCGGCACCCAATTCGTCCCTGACATCGCCGCCGGTTTCAGCATTGGCACCAGCGACACCAGCGAGCACGTCGTTTCCGACGCCGTCGCCTGTGAGAAGCAGCAGCAGAAGATCCGGCACCGCAGCCACAAACAGAACCAACAGTTGAAGGACCAAACTTCCAGGAGCAGAACCTGAAGGAAGAGACAGGTTCGAGCACAAGGTGGAGCACATCGCCACCGTCACTCTCCGACGGCTGGTGGGCCCCAACAAGGTTGGCGGGCTCGAGGGGCAAATCTCCCTCCTCAGCTCCAGCCTCCAGGACCTGAAGGGCAAACTCGTTGGTGAAGAGTCCAAAAACCACAAGATGGGCAGCGTGCAGGCCGACCTCTGAAGGGAGAAGCAGGAGATCCACCAGCACGCCCTGAGCGGGCTGAGTGAACTTAGGAAGCTGAAGACTTTCGGGCCCGACCCGAAGGAGCAGCACGAGCACCAGCAGCAGCAGCACAAACAGCAGATGCAGCACCTGGAGGAGCCGCAGGGGAACGTGGTGGAGCCGCCGAAACCCAGCCGGCAGGATGTTCTCGAGCGGACTTTTCCCGAGGACGGCTTCGGCATACATGTCGACGGCGACGCGTTGATTATCACCAGCGCAGGCCACCCAAACAGGGCCGTGGAGGCGGCAGACCACATCGTTGAGGTCACCGGCCAGGGTGGCAACCAGCAGATGAAACAGGAGCTCCGGAAGCCAGCCAACCAGGTCATCCTCCACGTCGTCTCCAGCAGGATGGGTAGCCCTCCTCACGCTTTTGTTCCCCCTGGTCTCCCTCCGCCTCCTCCTCCCCTGCGTGCGCGGCTTCAGGTCGGCGCAGCAGTTCGGAGGGGGATCTGACGTGATGGAAAGGTGGATGTGGGGGCGGCGGGCGGCGGGAACGGCAGAAGCATTGGGGCACAAGCGAAGATTTGGATAAGACCCCAGAGTCCAGAAAGTCAAGGCTCCGAAAGCAGCTGTCCTCCCCTCCCTCTCTCATTCCCCTCTTCTCGGCCTTCCTTTTTCTACTACAGTTGTTTTCTTGGCCCGACGTGTCCGGAGCTGACAAGACAGTGGGAATGGAGACTCCCAGCCACGGTGTTCTTTTGTCGGCAAGAAGCTGCGCTGAAGGCTGGCAAGGCCGATCCTTTTCTGATTGCGGGCAGTCGGTCATTTTATTTCATCGAGGCGCAATCCAACCCGATCCAATCCAATCCAATCATCTCCTCCTCCTCCTCCTTCCTTTCCTCCTCCTCCTCCTCCTCCTCCTCCTCTTCCTCCTCCTCCCTCCTCCTCGCTTCCTCCCTCCCTCCCCGCCGCCCTCCCCCGCCCTCGTCCCCCCTTCTTGCCTCCATCCTTCTGTCCCCCCCGCCGCCCCGCCGCGCCCGCGGAGGTTGGCCGGGGCGCCGCGGCGCCCCCGAGGTCGGCGCCGGAGGCCGTGCGGCTGGGCCTGGGGGGCTGCTGGGCGCTCTGCGAAGCGCAGGAGCCCCCCGGGAGGGCAAGTTCAGGGGCAGCGGAGGAGGATGTGATTCCCTCCCTCCTCCTCCTCCTCCTCCTCCTCCTCCTCCTCCTCCTCCTCCTCCTCCTCCTCATTCCTCATTGCACAGGCCTTACGGCAGGTTCCGCCGACCCTGGGCGGGAGTCTTGAGACGGGGGTCTATGCAACCGGGGGTCAGCCAGGGCGCCCGATCTTGCAGGATCCTGCAGGGCCAGGGTCGCATTGACCCGGGTGTGGGTGCAGGGTCCTGCAGGATCTTCCAGGATCCTTCGCATTGACCCGGGTTTGGGTGCAGGATCTTGTAGGATTTTGCAGCATTTTGGTTTGGATTGATTCGGGTCAGAAGATCCCCGAGGAGGGGGGAGGCTAAGGTTAAATCGGGCATGTCCCTTTACAGGAGGAATGTTCAAGATCAGTTGAACAAGAAGTTTGGTGGCGATTTCGTGCTCTGACGAATTCGTTACGTTGTTGTTTGATTATGTTTTGCGCTTCTGCCAATATCCGCCTGCAGGAGGACATGCCCGACCTAAGGATAAGGCATGAGCTTTCGAGGCCCAAGGTGTTCTCCTCGGGGGAGCGCGCGCGCGCGACGCGCGGAAGGCCCTCGAGGCTCGGGGTGGCCTCCAGGCACAGGGTGGCATCCATCGGCTGCGCCTCGTCGACGGCGTTCGCGGGGGCGCCGGGATCGTTCCGAAGGGCCGCCGAACGACACACACACACACACACACACACACAGACACAATGAATCGTCGATTCCCCAGAAGATATGGGAAAATATGGGAATTGGGCGGGAAGACGAAAACCCAGAAAATATTGGAAAATATGGGGAATCCTTTGATTTGTGTGTATTTACTTGTGTGTCCTTGGCCCCCTTGAAATATTGCCCGAAAGCCGGGTGGCAACGGCAGGGGGGACAGGCTCAGAGGGCGGAGTGCGCCGTCCCCCGATGGCCCTCCGATCGCCGCCCAGGGGCCCGGCAGCGCGCCCCGCACGCGGGTTTTGTCGTCTTGCTGCGTCAGGGCATTTCGCCGACGTGTTGGCGATGTTCAGAGCGTGAATTACCTACCCCGCTTTCGCTTCCAGGCAAAACCAAGTCATACCACGCGCCTCCTCGTCAAGCGGCCTGACCAGTACAGGCCGTAGTTTGGCATCGCTTGGTATCTCTTGGAAGAGAGGGTGGTCAAAAGCGAGGTAGGTTTGTTTGCCCCCTAGATGTGTCGCCGATTCCAGTTCGATGCTTCCTCCCCTGAGCTGGTGCCCCCTATCTCAAGCAGTGGCGAAGCGTCCCGGCTCGCCCATAGTCCTACCAAACAATGTTCTAAGAACCGTTCGAGGTTCCCACGAAATGTTCTCAGAACATTTCTGGCTGGGACTGTATTGTTTTAGCAAATCGGGTTTATGTTCTAAGAACATTGCTTTTGTTCTTAGAACAGTTTGGGGTTCTAAGAACATTTCGTGGTATGACTACTGGAATGCCGGGACGGTCGGTCCCTGCTCAACTATCGTTGCCCGTCAGCCCCGCCCTTCGCGAGGGCTGGCGACGCGCAAGGGTAACCCTTCACTGGCTGGGGGCTTTCGCCGCGTCGAGATTGGAGGTCTCTTCGGGTGTCCTCGCCAGCTCTCGGCGATTCTCCAACCTGGGGAGGCTTCCCAGCAGCTGCGACTCGCCAAGAGCAATCCAGCGGTGCTCGGCATCGTCCTGAAAGGCCGATGGAGGCCCGAGGAGGAGGAGGAGGAGGAGGAGGAGGAGGAGCAGGAGGAGGAGAGGGAGGAGGAGGAGGAAGAGGAGGAGGGAGGAGGGGAGGAGGAGGAGGAGGAGGGGGAGGAGGAGGAGGAGGAGAGGAGGAGGAGGAGGAGCAGGAGGAGGAGCAGGAGGAGCAGGAGGAGGAGGAGGAGGAGGAGCAGGAGGAGGGGGATGCTCGTGGCATGTTCGGTGCTCTGCGGTTTCAGAACAGCTGAGGCGGAATGTGTGCGCGCAACTGGTCTGGTCAAGGCAATAATTTCGGTCTTCCACCCCCTCCACCCGCTAGTCCGGCAAGAGAGACGCCAGTCCAGAGGTTGCAGGGGCGGCCGTAATTGTTTACAGTGACCGCGGGAAGCAATTCGGAATTCTACACACTTCGCGTAATTAACCCCACCAGCCCATCCAGAAACGACGCCCACGCGAGTTGTCCTGATCAGGCATGTGGAGGAGCACGCAGTGGAATAAAGGCTAAGGAGCCGGAGCCGACATACCTTAAGAGGAGGAGGATGGAGGAGAAACCAGAGGAGAAGGAGGATTGATGAGAGAGAGGAGGGGGAGGAAGAGGAGGGTAGGGAGGGGAAGGAGAGAGGAGGGAGAAGGGAGGAGGCAGGAGGAGGAGGAGGAGGAGGAGGAGGAGGAGGATTAGGCGGATGACGGAGAGGAAGAAGAGGAGGGCGAACAGACAGGCCGGAATGCCTCTTGCAGAGTTTCTTGTAGGATTGTTGAGACGTATTTGGGGCCTCTTTGCGGACCCGGGGGCCTCGTCACGCGTCTTCAGTACCTCGGGGGAGCCTCTTGGGGGTCTCTTGAGAGCTTCTTTGGGGCAGTTGGGGGACCTTTGGGGCCTCCTGGACACCTCTTGAGGCACTCTTGGGAGAGTGCCTCGAGGGTAGTCGTGGGGCCATCTTGGAGGTGATCGATCAAAGAAGGGAGGCACTCCATTAGCGTCCCCCCCAGAAGGCCAACATTTGACCCAAACCTCAGTACGATCAATGAGTTTGGTCTTCTCGTCGAGGCCATCTTGGGGACGCTCGAGCCCCCCGCGGGGCGCCCTATCCAGGTCCAGGGGGAGGGGGGAGGGGGAGGGGGGAACCCCTCCCCGAAGTGGAAGAAGGGGGGTTGGAAGAGGGAGGCCGCTGAACCACTCAAGCCCTAAAGGGCTGGTGGGATTTGTGACGCATCCCTTGCCGGGTCCAGGGCGGAACGACGTTCCCGCAGAGCAAGCAAGGTCGTCGCACCTTTCTGGCACGGCTCTGCCCGCCTAACTGCGCTTCCCTCCGCCCCGGAAAATTTGCGGCAGTGCTGCGAGGGGCCCGCGTCCCGGTGGACGAGCATGTTAGGCAAGCAGCTGTGTGACCCCACACCCTGCCCATATTCTTTTGCACCACCGCGGCCGGCGTCATCGATTGTTTGAGCACTCGGGGCTCAAGAGACGGGGCTGGGGTCAAGGCAAACGGGGGTCAGCCAGGGCGCCGGATCTTGCAGGATCCTGCAGGGCCAGGGCTGCACTGACCCGGGCTTAGGCGCAGGATCCTGCAGGATTTTGCCGGACCTTGCAGGGCCTGATTGACCCGGGTCCGGACTGACCCGGGTCAGTGGAGCCCCGAAGCATCTCGTGTTGACGCCTCACGCCGTGGCGGAGGTGAGGGGGACGCGAGCGCAGCGCGGCGTGTGTGTGTGTGTGTATGAATGTGTGTGAATGTGTGTGAATGTTTGTGAATGTGTGTGTGTGTGGATGTGTGAGTGGATGTGGATGTTTGTGTGTGGATCTGTGTGTGGATCTGTGTGTTGATCTGTGTGTGGATCTGTGTGTGGATCTGTGTGTGGATCTGTGTGTGGATCTGTGTGTGGATATGTGTGTGGATATGTGTGTGGATATGTGTGTGGATATGTGTGTGGATGTGTGGATCTGCGTGTGGATCTGTGTGTGGATCTGTGTGTGGATGTGTGTGGATGTGTGTGGACATGTGTGTGGATGTGTGTGTGGTTGTGTGTCTGTGTGTCTGTGTGTCTATGTCTCTGTGTGTCTGTGTGTCTGTGTGTCTGTGTGTCTGTGTCTGTGTCTGTGTGTCTCTCTGTGTCTCTGTGTGTCTGTGTGAGTGTGTCTCTGTGTGTGCGTGTGTGTGTGTGTCTGTGGTGTGTGTGGTGTGTCTGTGTGTCGGTGTGTCTGTGTGTCTGTTTGTCTGCGTGTCGGTGTGTCTGTGTGCATTTGTGTCTGTGTGTCTATGTGTCTGTGTCTGAGAGTGTGTCTGCGTGTGTCTGTGTGTGTGTTTGTGTGTATGTGTGTGTCTGCGTGTATCTGTGTGTATCTGTGTGTGTGTGTGACTGTGAGCTGTGAGTGAGACTGTGTGTGGGTCTGTGTGTGAGAGTGTGTGCGTGTGTGCGTTTAGGGGGGGGCTCTGCCTGTGCGGTGTGTGTGTGTGTGTGTGTGCTTTGGGGGGAAGGGGTTCGTGTGCCTCTGCCTGTGCGTGCGCGGGAGTGTGTGTGTGTGTGTGTGCGTGTGCGTGTGCGTGTGCGTGTGCGTGTGCGTGTGCGTGTGCGTGTGCGTGTGCGTGTGCGTGTGTGTGTGTGTGTCTGTTTGTGTGTGTGCGTGTGTGTGGTGCGGGGCGTGTGCGTGAGCGTGTGCGCGTGCGTTTGCGTGTGCGTGTCCGAGTCCGTGTGCGTGTGTGCGTGTGTGCGTGCGTGTGCGTGCGTGCGTGCGCGCGCGTGCTAGTGCGCGTGCGTGTGCGTGTGCGTGTGCGTGTGCGTGTCCGTGCGTGTGCGCGTGCGTGTGCGTGCGCGTGTGCGCAGGCCTTCCCTCCCGGGAGGCAGCTGCCGCCCCGGCGCCCGCCCTCTCCCCGCGCCGGCCCCCCCCCTGTGTCCGCGCGAGAGGCGGGTTGCGAGGGCGTGGCGCGCGCCCACGGCTCCAGCCAGGGCGAGTGCGGGCTGCGCTGGAGGGTGGACACCGAGCGGTGCGCGGAGGAGCGGGCGGGTGCTGGGCTTGTCGGTCGCGGGGGTCGATGCGGGGGTCGGCGCGGGGATCATTATATCATCATCATAATCATTATATCGTATTCCTCTCTGTAGCCGTTTGGGCTCCAGTCTGGAGGACCGGTAACAGCCATACACAGGTTCCAAGCCTGTGGGACCCACAGTACACAGTACACAGGCGTGTCGGTCGCGGGGGTCGATCTGGGTAGTCGAAGGCCAGACTGTCAGACTGGATTGGGCCCCAAGGGCCAATCTGGCCTGGCCAGATGGGAGGATTCTGGTTATTCGCCAGACTGGATTCGCGTTGGCTCCCTCGCCAGATTGCCCCCGTTTGCCAGATTGGGCCTGCCAGATTGGCGCCAGATTGGCTTCGACTACCCAGTCGATGCGTGGGGGGGGGATCGAGGACTGCAGGACGCGGGCATCTTCAGGCCCCCTGGGGCCCCAGAGGTACACGAAAGGAAGCTGCAACTGTCTTCCCCCTCCCCCCCCCTTGTTGCTCCCGCAGTCAGCAGCGCCCGAGGTTGCCATCAGGCCTGGCCTGGCGGCGTTCTTGTGCGATTTTGGGGCGGGGGGGGGGGAAGTGAGGGGGGAGGAGGAGGGAGGAGCCGGAGGGGGGGGGGAGGAGGAGGGAGGAGGAGAGGAGGAGGGAGGAGGGAGGAGGGAGGAGGGAGGAGGGAGGAGGGGAGGGAGGGAGAAAGGGAGAAGGAAGGAGGAGGGAGGAGGGAGGAGGGAGGGAGCAAGGGAGCAGAAGGAGGGAGGGAGCAAAAGGAGAGCCGAGGGGGTCGCCGAGGCGAGGCCGCCGTGCCCGCCCCCGCGGGCCGAGAGGCGGCGGCGGCGGCGCGCGGCGCGCGGTACGTCTGGGGCGCGAGCGACGACGACGACGACGACGACGACGACGACGACGACGACGACGACGACGACGACGACGGCGACGACGAGCGACGACGACGACGACGACGACGACGGCGACGACGACGACGACCGACGACGACGACGACGACGACGACGACGACGGAGCACGCCGGAAGGAGGACGAGTACAGTCAATCGGGCGGGTGGCAATGGGGGGTGACCCGAATGGGAGGTGAAGGAGTTGGGTCCTTTAAGGCCCTATAGGGCCCCTTTGGGGGCAGGAGCTGGCGCCAAAAGGGGCCCCCGAGGGCCCCTGTCGGGCCCTTCTCTTCACACCCCTTGCACCCCTCCCACTACCATCCGCCCGAGTCAACCCGTAGAAGAAGGACGCGCGACAAGGATGCAAGGGCCGTGGCTGACCATGTCGACACTCTGCGAGCGCGGCGCGGCCAGCTAGAAAGACGCCAGGGATGGGCCGCAGGGGGAGGATGGCAGGGGCAGCCTTGGAAAGCTGCTCCTCCTTGCTGTGAGGGCTGACTGTGGTGTATCGGATCTCTGAGACCCAGCCTGGGGTACCGAGCGCCCAGTGCGGAGGCCAGCCTGGGCTATCCGAGACAGCCTCGGACCAGCTCTGGCGCGCTGTAGGGCCCTGCCTGACCAGCTCTGGCGCGCTGTAGGGCCCTGCCTGACGGGCCGTCCAGGCCAGGAGGAGGGGGTCGGGGGGGGGGGGACAGGGGTCCAGCTGCCCCCCCCCGCCCGAATGACGGCCGTCTCGCCCACGGCCTCCCGCACTCCCACCGCACAGGCGGCACCCGGCTCGGCATGGGCAGGGGCCGGGCGCCATCGCCGTTCCTCGGGCCACGTGCTGCAGACGCCAGCCATGTGCGCCGCGCGTGCCCAGGCACCCCCCTCGTCCCTGTCAGCGAGCAGTGCGAAGTGATCGCGGGGTGCCCACGCACGATCGAGATTTTGCCGCGGAGCGTTTCTGTTCGTGCTGCCTTGTGGCGGGGATGATGGGCCTGCATGCAGCAGGCAATACGCCGCTCCCACTCGTCCCTGTCAAACAAGAATGATGCCAAGTTCAAAGTCATCGTTTGGTGCACGTGCATGATACAGATTTGGACGCAGAGTGAACTTCGATGTTTGAGGGGGACAGGGATGGTGGGGGGGTCCGGGTTTGCCCCCTGTCAGTTGCGGCAGGGGGCGTTTGTTAACAAGGATGAGTGATCAAGCTGCCCACAAGTCGCAGGCCGTCCCTCTCACTCCCACCTGCCCTCTCAACACACTCGTAGCAACCCGCCTCTCAACCTATTCGGCGGTCGCACCCGCTGGGCACCGGTGCAGACGCCAGGTGCGCGACGCCGGCGATGTGCGCCACGAGTGCCGAGCACACCCAGTGCGCCAGGCACCCCATGGGCCCAGGCGTGCCATCCGCGCCTGGTGCGCCGCATGCGCCCATGGTGTCGGTCGGGGCCTCCTCGTCCTCTTCGCCTTCCTACCTCATCCCCCCGCCTTGCGCGGCGCAGCGTGTCGCCGATGCCGCCTCGCCCAGGGGAGGAGGAGGAGGAGGGGGGAGGAGGAGGAGGAGGAGGAGGAGGAGGAGGAGGAGGAGGAGGAGGAGGAGGAGGAGGAGGAGGAGGAGGCGCAGCAGTGCCCGACCGCCAGCGCCCCCCTGCGAGCCACGGTGCCCCGGGGCCTGCGCGGGCGTTCCCCGCCGCTTCGCCCCCGCGCGGGCCCGTGGCACAGGGCGCGCCCAGAGAGGAGGCCCGGCCCTCGAGGGCGCCGAGAGCTCGACATCGAGGGGCCTCCTTCCAAGGGCCTCCTTCGAATGGCCTCCCTCCGCCAGAGCCCATCGCTGGCGGCCCTCGGGCCTGCCCGGCAGGCGCGGCCCATCGGCCCCCCCCTCCCCCCGACGGCTTCCCCCAGGCGCCTAGCAAGGAGAGGCGGGCGAGCCCCCCCCCCCCCGCGCCCCGCCTCCGGCGTGCCGCGCGCCACGGCCGTCGCTGTCGCGGGTCATCTTTGAGGCCTCCTGGGCCGTCTTGAGCCGACGGAAGCTTGAAAAGGCGAGGACGCGAAACAAAACATCCAAAAGCATGGTGATTGTTTTCTTGTTCATTGTTTTGCCGATCGGCGCGGGCCCTGGCACCCCCCCCTCTCCCCCCTCCTCTGGAGTAGATCTTGGCTGTTTTGGGCGCCTGTTTCGGGCAGGTGAGGTGTCCCCCATAGGACGCAGTGCTGCAAACCGTGGCATTCAGCAGAGGTCCGGAGCCAGAACCCCCCCCTCCCCCACCCCTTCCGCCCAATGTCGAAACGCCGAATAAGAAAACGCTCACCTTGAAAAGGCGAGGACGCGAAAAACATTCAAGAACATAAGGGAAATCGGTGGTGTTGGTCTCTTCAGGCTTGGTTGGACGGTGCCGTCCTGAGGCCGTATTGGGCCATCTGGGAGCCATCTTCGGCCGTCTCGGAGGCATCTAAGGCCTCTTGGAGGTCTGTTTTGGAAACCATCTTCGGCATCTTGGACGCCTTGAACAGCGCCAGGAACGTGTCTGGGCGCCGACAAAGCCTCTGGAAGAGGGGGCGATGCACGAAACTCTACGCGGCCCGGGAGGAGGGGGCCTTAGATTACAGAAACCTTGCCAGACAGCACGTGGCATTCTAGCACGCCTCAGCATGCTAGGGGACATTGGTGGCGGATCCTTACACCACGGGGTTAGCGGGGTAGCCCGCAGGACAGACGTGTCGTGACTTGTGGTGTCGCGCGCCGGCTCAAGTCTGCAGACCCAGGGCAGGGAGGGGACCACTGCCCCCTCCCTGCCCCCCTCCTGCCCTCCCTCCGTCTCCTCTCGACCCCCCGCGCGCGCTCACCACCGCTGCCGCGGCGGCGGGCGGCGCGCCCCCCCCCTCGGCCAGAACGCCTCGCGGGACTTCTGGCACCTCGTGCGCCGCGGCCGCGGTGCAGGCGCCCAGCACGACCTCCTAGACGGCCTGCCAGCCGAGCCGCGGCGGCACGGCAGGCCGAGACCGCCCGGCGACCCCGCCTGGGGCCCGACGGTGAGGCCCAGCGCGCGCCCGCCGCCGCCGACACGCGCAGCTGCCGCCACCGCGCGCGCCGTCTGCCGCCGCTCGGCGGCGCCGCAGCGGCCGCCGCCGCCGCCGCGGCCGCGCCGATCTGCCGCCCGCCCCCACCGCGGTGCAGAGGGGTGGGAAGGAGGGCGCAGAGGGCGGGGGGAGGAGGGAGGGGGAGAGGGGGGGGGGACAAGCTAGGTGCGCTCGCGTCATATCTGACGTCCTACCCCTCCCTCCCATCCCTTACCATGGCGCTGATTTTCTCTATCCGCGGACGCGTGTCGTAGCGGACCTGTGGCTCCGCGCGCGCGTGCGTAGTGGGTGGTGGTGCGCGTGCGTGCGTGCGTGCGTGTGTGCGTGGTTGTGGTGGTGGTGGTGGTGGTGGTGGTGGTGGTGGTGGTGGTGGTGGTGGTGGGTGGTGGTGGTGGTGGTGGTGGTGCTGGTGGTGTGGTGCTGGTGCTGGTGCTGGTGCTGGTGCTGGTGCTGGTGCTGGTGCTGTGCTGGTGCTGGTGCTGGTGCTGGTGCTGGTGCTGGTGCTGGTGCTGGTGCTGGTGCTGGTGCTGGTGCTGGTGCTGGTGCTGGTGCTGGTGCTGGTGCTGGTGCTGGTGGTGCTGGTGGTGGTGGTGGTGGTGGTGGTGGTGGTGGTGGTGGTGGTGGTGGTGGTGGTGGTGGTGGTGGTGGTGGTGGTGCGGCGCAGTGGTGGCGGGCGGATGGGCGCGCGAGAAAGAGGCCCGCGCTGGGGCGAGAACGCCATCCTGAACGACGGAGGCCAAACACCGATCCGAAAATGAGGCCCACGCTGCAGCGGGAGCACGATTCGGAACGATTCGGGAGCAGAAATGAGGCCGACGCCTCAGCGAGAGCAGCATTTTGGAAAAAAACGCAAGCGAAAACCCGTTTCCCGGGAATCTTGTGTGTAAAAAAACAGTACGCGGGGGGGGTCGGCGATCACCCAACCGCCATCAGGGGAAGAGGGATAGTATTTTCATATTGAGTAATTCTAGAGGGCGGGGAAGGAAGGGGGGGCAGAGGGGGGGGAAGGAGGAGGGTGCAGAGGTGCAGCGGTACAAGGCTGGGTGCAGAGGGGGGGGAGGAGGAAGAGGAAGAGGAGGAGGGAAGGAGGAAGAGGAGGAGGCGGAGGAGGAGGAAGGACGAGAAGAAGAGGAGGAGGAGGAAGAGGAAGAAGAGGAGGAGGAAGAGGAAGAAGAGGAAGAGGAGGAGGAAGAGGAAGAGGAGGAGGAGGAGGAGGAGGAGGAGGAGGAGGGAGGAGGAAGAGGGAGGAGGAGGGAGGAGGAGGAGGAGGAGGAGGCTCGCCGTGGCCAGGACAGGCCCTTCGTTGCTTTACTCGGCGTTCCTCCTCGGCAGTGCCAGGACTCCTCCACTCGCAGAGGGGGGAGGGGGAGGGGGGAAGGCTTCTGAGAAGCACCCCTGCTTCTCTCGGGCCGGACGAAAGGGGGGGATTGGGAAATGGCGGGTTACGAAATTTGCTGCATGCAGCTGGTTTCGGCCTCACCGAGGGGCCCACTCCTCTATACATAGTCGCCTCCGGCGCCGGGAGGCGCCGGGAAAATCAGCTACGTGAGCTGATTCTCAACCCCCCCCTTTGCTATCCCCCCCTTTCGCCCGACCCGATTCTCAGAAGGCGCGGGCCTTCTTGCAGTCGGCCCGCATGGTAAGGATTGGCAACCTTCCCAAGGGTACCCTTGCACCCATGCCCCTTCGGCCCATCCTTAGCGACTTTCACTGGCCAACCTCGTTCGAAAAACATCAACGTGGCCCTCCAAGGCCCTTGCATCCTTACCGCGCGTCCTTCTGATAGGGGCTGACTCTGATGATGGTGATAGACGTAAGTCAGAGCGTGGACTACCTACCCCGCTTTCGCTTCCAGGCAAAACCAAGTCATACCACGCGCCGCCTCGTCAAGCGGCCTGACCAGTACGGGGCGTAGTTTGGCATCGCTTGGTATCTCTTGGAAGCGAGGGTGGTCAAAAGCGAGGTAGGTTTGGTTGCCCCCCAGGTAGGCCCGCGCCTTCTAAGGAGCAGCCCCCTTGCAAAAAGCCTTCCCCCCCTCCCCCTGTCTTGACGGACGAAGAACGGTATAGAATAAACTGTTTTGCAGTCGGGGGCGCCTGTCCCTAGGCGGCTGGAAAGTTTATACCCCTACGGTGTCACCGTAAGGGTATAAACTTTCCAGCCGCCCTGGGACAGGCGCCCCCGACAGCAAAAAAGTTTATTTTGTACCTTTTTTCGCCCGTGAACTGTCTCCAGCTGTGCGCCGCCAAACCGCGGCAAGGCCGGGCGTGCCCGACCTGCCGGACGTGGTCTTCGACGACAGCGAGGATTGCCGGCGCGCGGGAGAGGGGCGGGGCGAAAAGAGGCTGACATCCTCGCATCGCGAAGAAGTCGAGACTCAGGAGGGAAACAAACACACAGACACAATTAATCGTCGACTCCCCAGAAAATATGGGAAAATATGGGAAGTGGCGGGGAAGACAAAATCCCAGAAAATATGGGAACATATGAGGAATCTGTTTATTTGTGTGTATTTATTTGTGTGTCCCAGGGCCCCTTCAGAGACGTGAGGTTTTTTGACAGCTTTCAGCTTCCAGGGGCCCGAAGGCCCTCCAAAAACGATTTGAGATGGCAAGCCGTTCCCCAGGAAGGGGCCAGCCCTCTGCGGGGGGGGGGGGGGGGCACTCTGTCGTGCAAACCAACACGACGCGGGACCGCCGGATATCTGTGGTGCTTCGGAAAACGGCGTCCGTCGCGGGTTTTCCTCTTCCCCTCCTTCCTCTCCTGCTCCTCCTCCTCCTCTCCTCTCCTCTCTCCTCCTCCACCTCCTTCCTCCTCCTCCTCCTCCTCTTCCTCCTCTCCCTCCTCCCTCCTCCTCTCCTCCTCCTTCTTCTCCTCCTCCTCCCTCCTCCTCCTCCTCCTCCTCCTCCTCCTCCTCCTCCTCCTCCCTCCTCCTCCTCCTCCTCCTCCTCCAGCTCCTCCCTCCCTGCCCCCCTCATCCATCCTCCCTCCCCTCCCCACTCCCTCCCCTCCCCCCCCCCGCGCGCGGCAGCGCGAGCGGGAGGCCGGGCCGAGCCCGGCAGGCCGCCGAGGGCCCGCAGAGAGAGGGCCCCCGCGGGACTCGGCAGGCCCCGGGGCGCCGAGCGAGCGGGGGCGCTGAGGCCGCCCCCGGCGGCTCTCGGGCGGGAGAGCAGATCGACTCAGCACCGGCCCAGACTCAGAGAGCCACCCCTCCCTCGCCCTTCGGCCCTTCGGCCACACGTCGAAGCCCGGAATATGAAACAAGAACGCTCACCTGCGGGCTCTCGGGCGGGGCTGGGACTCGGAGGAGGAGGAGGTAGACCTCGGGGAACCCGGGGGGCCCCGGCGCCGATCCGAGAAATCCGCGCGGACCTCCGAGTTCTTATGTTCATGTCACTTTTTGTTCCCCTAATACCCTCGCCAGTTTTCCCATGTCTGGGCCTCCTGGGAGGCCCTCGTCGCCACCGCTGGATTCGCCTCGAGATCCTGGTCAGAACGCACCCCGGGAGAGGTCGGGGGAGTAGTGGTATCGGGACCTTTGGTCTCCCCAAGGACGAGGATGAATACGTTCCAGAGCGTTCCAGAACGCTCTCAGAGCGCTCCGGAGAGCTCTGGAGAAGGCCGCGGTGCACATTTTCCACAGGATCTCAAACATTCTCGATGTATCTTCACCCGGATTTGTCTTCGTCCTGGCCTCGTTTGATGCTCGCCCAGATCTCCGAAGATACCTGGTCCCAAGCAGGCTCGACAAAAATCATGGCAGGGGGGTTTGGGCCGTTTCGGTCTTGGTGCGACGGGAGGTTTGGGCCGGTTTTCTGCCTCCAGATGGCCCACGCTGGTGGGCCCCAAGACCATCAAAACAACAATACGGGATGAGAGACCGGCCCTGGGGAAGAGGGTCGGGACTTCCAGGGGCCCCGCATCGCATGTCTGGGATTCTTTCGGGGGTGGACAGTACCCCCAACAGTGACACGTCGATTAGTGAATTGTCCGTTTTCGGTTCTCGAGAGGGCGCCGTGGCCGTTATTTTCCAGACTTGCGCCCGCCAGGCTTGGGCCTCAGGTCGTTTTCACTAAATCACGTTTTACGAAAGGGGGTCTGTCCATGCCCGATTCTTGCCATCCTGGCGACTTCTCTCGACGTCGGCCTCTTACATTCGGCCCCGGGGCCAGCAGAGCTGGACCCAGGGCGGAGCGCCATACCCCAGGATTGGGCGGCGATAGTTGAGCGACGCCAGAAAACGGGGTCGTGGGCGCCGACATTCGCGCGTGAGCTGCCCGCGTAAGGTCGCGCGTAAGCGACCTCGTCTCCAAAGTAGGCGTGCCGCGCCAGCGGCCCGCGTAAGCCACCGCGTAAGGTTTCCCGTGCCATCTCGCGCAAGTCCCTTTTTCGTGATCGTCGTCGCTCGACCGGGGGGCGATAAATGGGGGAGGGGGGGGGGGCAGCGCGGGCTGCCGGAAAAAAACGCCCTTCAGGGCCCCAGGCGGGGCCTCCAGAGCCCGCCTTCCTTCCCCCCCCCCCTCGTGTGCCTTCCTTCCCCCCCCCCTCATGGTATCGCCCCCCTCGCCCACTCGCGCCCCGCGGCCTCTGGGGCCCACGATGCGGCCCCGGGGCCCCGGGGCGAGCACGGTGCCCCAAGGGAGGCGGCAGGGCCCTCCCTGAAGGGGCCCCAGGGCCGCGCACGGGAGGAGCACAAAGGCAGGTCGGCGGCGGGCAGGGCGGGGAGGACCTCTGAGGCCAGCCGGGGCTGATTACGCCTGGGTCGAGTAGGGGATCGACCACTAAATTGCAGGAGGAGGAGGAGGAGGAGGAGGAGGAGGAGGAGGAGGAGGGAGGAGGAGGGAGGAGGAGGAGGGAGGAGGGAGAGAGCAGAAGAGGAGGAGGAGGAGGAGGAGGAGGAGGAGGAGGAGGAGGAGGGGAGGAGGAGGAGGAGGGAGGAGGCGGAGGAGGAGGAGGAGGAGGAGAGGAGGAGGAGGAGGAGCTCTCTGGGCGCAGAATTGCACGAAGTGACCGATCACTGAATGGTTCATCTGGTCTACGCAAGGTACGTCGAGCACTCGTACATCTAGGAGCGGGGAGCGCAGTTTCTTGGCCGACTCGGCGACCACGTCAAGTCGGGGGTAGGTCAATCTTGTAGTCGATCTCCTCCTCGACTGGTGACCGTCTGCGCGCAGGCGCTCGGAGCCCTGCCGAGGACGCGGGCGCCGCCGCGGCAGAGGCCGCTGGGGAGATAGAGTGGAACCTGCACCCGGGCGTGCTGTGCAAGCCCTCCGACGAGTCCCTCGACCGGGAGCTCGACGGGAGCGTCATGCAGTGCCGCGAGGCCTTGTGCCGCGCAAGCGGGGTCCGAGCAGACTCACCGAGCGCGTTCCACTACTCGCAAAGTGCCGACTCGCAAGCGTCCCCAAAAATTGGTGTTGTTCGATGCAATCGAGCGTGTCTGCTTCGACGCCATGGATCGAGGCCGCTTGCGAGCATCTGCTCTGCGAGTAGTGGAACGCGCAGTGGAACGCGCTGGTCTCGGGTCGGAGGCACGAGGTGTGCGCCATCCCGGCATCGCCGATGCACCGGCGATGCACGGCCGATCCGTGGTCGGGAGCCTTGAGACGGGGGTCAACGCAAACGGGGGTCAGCCAGAGCGCCCGATATTGCAGGATCCTGCAGGGCCAGGGTCGCACTGACCCGGGCTCGGGTGCAGGATCCTGCAGGGTCCTTCGCGTTGACCCGGGCTTGGGTGCAGGATCCTGCAGGGTCTTGCAGGATCCTGCAAGGCCCGACTGACCCGGGTTTGGGATCGGCCCGGGTCATAATCGACTAGACGTAAGAGTGACCTTCCGCCGGAGTGACCTTGAGTGCGGGCCCAGTGGGGCCCCCCGATCGCCGAACGCGGTGCGATTTTCAGCGTCTTGCGCGCTTGGGTTTGGTTCCCCCGCGGCCCCCAAAAAGCCGCGCACCAAAGGTCACTCTCACCCAGGGTCACTCCTGCGTGTATTTAGCCGAGGAGATCCCCGACGTGGGCCCGTCTGGGTCCCGTTCGGGCGCGCCCCGGGAGGCGTGCCTGGAGGAGCCCCGCTGCGAGGCGATGCAGACGCTCCGCGGGAGGATGTTCGGGAAGTGCAGGCTGCTAGGCTCGGGGGGCGAAGGCGGACAATGCCCTGGCATCGCTCGGACGTGTGCATTTTCCTTTCGGCGAGGACCATCGAGGAGCATCCTTGATCATTTGGCGAAAAACCGCGCACGAAACCGAACAAAAACACGGGGAAAGGACGTCCGAGCGATGGCCAGATGCGGTGGGGCCCGTGCCAGGGAGCACCCTGCTTGCCTCCAGGGTGCCCCTGGGTTTCTCTTGGGTCTCGCCGGCTCTGCGAGGGAGGGCGTGGCGTCCCCACGCCAAGGAGCCAGGGCCGCCCTCGGGTGCTCCAGGAGAGGTGCTTTGCTTGTGGGAGGGCTTCTTCTGGCGGTCGGGCCCCCCACTGCACGCCGAAGCATGGGAGGCCCAAGGCCCGCGTGGGCCTCTGGCTGGGGTCGGCGCCGAGCCTCGCGCCCCGGCCCCGCGCCGCTCCTCGCGCCGGGGACGAGGCGCGGCGGAGGGGGGGTCCCGGCGGCGACCCGAGAGAGCCTCCGACAGCAATGTGCTTGACGGGGGCGGGAAAGAGGGGGGTGATGACTAGGGGGGGAGGATATCATGGCGCGGGCCATGATATTTCCCCAGATCTCATGGCGCCTCTTCTTATTTCATGACGTCCCTGGCCCCCCCGCTGGGCCGTGCACATGCCGCCGGTCATGATTTGCACCCCCCCCCTCTTGGACATCCCCCTCTTGGCCGCTCCCGAGTGCTTGCTGTCGGTTGTTCTGCTCCTGCTGCAGGCGGCTTGGACATGAAGATGTGCACCCACGAGCCCGGGTTCGACCTGTGGCAGCAGGTGGGCAAGGGGCAGGGTAACATTTGGGAGTTCAGGCCCGTGGACGGCGGGAAGGGCCGCGAGTGCCAGGGCGAGGGCGCCGAGTCCGGGAACGGGTCCAGCGGCTTCAAGCTCTACGCAGGCTGCACCGCCCCCCTTGAAAGCGGGGGCCGAGAGGGGCTTCGTGTTCAGAGGGGGAAAAGTGTTACCAATTCCGCTACCCTTGCCTCGCCTTTGCCTTTTCGGGCCTCCTGGGAGGCCCTTGTCGCAACGGCTGGATTCGCTTCGAAACTCTGGTCGGAACGCATTCTGGGAGAGGACGGGGGAGTAGTTGGAATACACTGCCCTTCTGTTGCGAGGTAGTTGTATAGGAGGGGGTACAGAGGGCACGGTTTTTTTACACTGTTTGGAGAAAATTGTGAATTCAGTAAGGGTCATGATTGACATGCCTCGAAGAACTCGCGCCCACCCGAATCGCAATCATGTGGTATATTTGCGGGCCGCTGACATTTGCCTCCGTCGTCATCCTCTTCCTTGCTCCCATCTCTTTCTTCTATCCCCTGGATAGGGTCGAAGGCGGCCGCGGCTCCGGCGGAGGAGCGCCCCCTTCCTCCTCCCCCTCATTCCTCGCTCTTCCTCCATGTCCCCATGCTCCACCATCCGTCGTCCACTTTGTCTCCAAGGAAGACAAGTGATGGGGCCGCGCGCCCGCGTTCGCATTGTAATGCCCGTTCGGTATCCGGGCAGCGAACCAGCCAAGGAGAGGGCGTGGCCAATGCAAACGCACGGGGCGCACTCCAACAAGGGGCGCCGGCCTCCAAACACAGTCGTAGCGGTAACATGAGAAGTTGTTGATGCCTGCGGCAAGCTCCGCCACCGTGCCAGCGCAGCGGTCCGAACGGTGATGCTTTGAGCTATGTTTGTTCAGACGTCCAAGACACTGGCATCTGTCATGTTGTCGAACTGGTGTCGGGCCGTTTGGGGGGATTCCTCGGGGCCCTCTTGGGTCGTACTGGGGCCGCTGGGGGCAGCCTTTGCGCCGCGCTTCACAGTGGCCGCACTGGGCCCGGGATGCGCGTATTTGCAGTCCCTGGGGGCCGCCCTGGGCCAGGGAAGTATATATTCGCATTCCCCCCTAACTGGGGACGTCGACGTCGGTTCTGATTTGGCAGAGTAGGGGTACTTTCGAGGTGGCGAGCGTTTACCGTTCCAAATTACACAAATCAAGGTGTGATCTGCGTACACCGTTCGTGTATTAAAATGTGTAATTGCTCGTGCGCGTCCACCGCTTACACAGATCGTGGTGTGATCTGTGTACACAGATCGTGCTCCCATCTGTGTATTTGGAGTGTGCTCTTCGCCGGTGGTTGTGACTGGACGGGGCGGTTCGCGTTTCTCTCGGCTTGTTTTCGGGAGGCCGTTGCACGCGGGCGAAATGCACAGTTCGTGTGTCCAACTGTGCACGCGCTGCGCGTTACCAGCTGGAGCGGCGCCTGGGTGGGAGTTCCCGCCGATATCCCTGCTGGTCACGGAAGGGGCCGTGGTTGGGGAGGGCAAAGGCGCGGGCGCCTGGGGATGATGCGCGATGGGAGGGAAACGGCGCGCGAGAAAGGGCGGCGACGGAGCTGGGGGGTGAAAGGGGGAGGAGGGGAAGGAAGGAAATGAGCCCAGAAGGAATTGCAGCATCGGTGCCATCGTCACGAGGACGAGGGAAGCGGGGTGGCAGAAAAAGGTGGAATGAACTGCGCATGACCGTGGGGGAGAGGGGACGGCGAGGGCGCAGGTGTGGGGGCAACGTGTCGGGCGGAGGAGGGCGAAGAAGAACGCCGTGCGGTGGCGGAAGAGGACAGGAACATGACGAGGAGGACGAGGGACATGATGAGGAGAGGGGGGATCGGATGGGCACGAGGAGGTCGAGTCGAAAGGGAAGGGGCATGGGGAGGAGGAGGGGGATGGTGCATGAGGGTAGGGCGGGCGCGAGCTTGCGCGCATTTTGGTAGTATTTTGCGCGCCCGTGCAACACCGTAAAACAGAAGTGACGGCTGCAGAGCAGGGCTGTCAGGGTCGTCGTGCGTGGCGCGCGTCCAGGCCCAACGCTCAAGTCCACGACGTTCCTTTGCGTCGTGTTGTTGCCGCCCGTTTCCGCCATGCCGCGCGTGCACAGATAGGTTGAATATGTGTTTCAACGTTTGCTTCTTGACCTCCTTCTATAGTAACGTATCAACGTTGGGGGCCAAGGGAGTAGCAGTATGGGGAGTGCCGGTGTCGCCCCCCCGCATGTGGGAGGAGGGATAGGTGGAGGACGAGCACGAGGAGGACGAAGATGAGGAGGACGTTCTTCATAATACATGTTAGATGGATGGCTGTACCAAGGAAAACCAGGCGGAGTGGAAGATACCTAAGGTTGTTGCCAATTTTTGATGTCCCGCTGGGCGCCCACCTCCGACGCGAGAAAAGTGATAACTGCATGTTGCGCGATCGGTGATAATAGTTATATCATAAATATGATTGTGTTATCTCATTGTTTCTCGCTTGTTATGTATATTGTTTATGTTTGTCAATATGTCTGTTTGTCTGGTTGGCTATCTCTCTCTCTCTCTCGCTCTCGTTTTCCCTTTCCTGCCCTATTTCTTTATATTCCTTATTGTATGTTGCTTCAGGATCGACAGCGGACTCTCATGTCACCACGATCCGAGTCGAAGAGGAGAGGGGGCACGGGACTGACAGCAGGCTCTGGCCGACCCGATCCGAGGTATCGTTTCCCGTGCCAGCGCGGGCCTGATCCGACGACGCACGCCCTGATCGGGCCCGACTTCCCGATTCCATGCTGACGGATTCCATGTCCTCCCCCTCCCTCTCCCTCGACGAGGGCCACCTGTGACAGCGGCGGCTCTCCCGCCCCGCCCGGCTCCGCTGCGGAAGCTGCGCCCGAGCCCTCTGCCCAACGCCCCGAGGATGCGCCAGGAGCCCTCCCCCGAGGCACGCCCTCCGGGCGCTGCGCCGCGGCGTCTCCCGCCCAGCCCAGGTCCGCTCCAGAGGATGTGCTCGATGTTCCTGCCCAGCGCCCGGGGGATGTGCCAAGGCCCCTCCCGAGGCACACCCTTCGGGCGCAGCGCAGCGGGGGGGAGATGGATGGCGGGAAGGAGGTGCACTTCCTGTGCACCCCAGGGGTCGTGGAGGGGTCCTCTGGGCCCAGAAGGGGCACGAAAGGTGCACACGCCGGTCGCTGAGAGGAGGTGTTTCTGGACCCCCCGATCCCAAGAGGTTTCGAGCGCCTTCCAGTATTTCAAGAATCGACATGTTGTTGTGCAATGTTGTGGTATTTTTCTCGGAGGGCCTGGACCCAACCTGCTCCATGCGCCTTCCCGCTTCATGTTATTTTGCCCACTTTTCCCGACCATATATATATATATAATATATTATATATATATATATATATATATATATATTTTATATATATATGTTTATACACTTTTATACTATTATATATATACACGTTCCTTCGCCCCCCCCCCCCCGGTTGGCGAGCGTTTTTTTGAGCGTTTTTTTTTACTCGGCGCTTCGGCGTTGGGAGGGGGGGGAGGGGGGGGGGCTGGCTCCAGACCTCTGCGGGGGGGAGTCTGGCTCCAGACCTCTGCTTAACGCGGCTGCTTGCAGCAGTGCGGAGACGCCACTTGCTCGGAGCAGACGCCCAAAACAGCCAAGATCTTAGCCATGGGGGGAGGGAGGGGAGGGGGCCGAGGGAGGGGGGGGCACAAGGGCCCGCGCCGATCGGCAAAACGGGGAGTGGAAAACGATCGCTTGATCACCCCCCCGTTTAAACAACGCCCAATGCCTGGTTGGCCGGCGACGAGGAGGCTCCAGGTGCGTCCCAGAGGGCCGCTGCGGTGTCCGCGGGCCCTCCTCTCCGATCTCTGCCCCGCATGGCGCCCCTGCCCCCGCGGGAGGTGCCTCGCGGGACGAGTGCAAGGACCAGGGCTCGACCTATAAACAGTGTTTGGGCGATGTCGTGCGCTGTTTTCGTTTCGAATTGCTGTTTTCGTCCGCAGGGGCGAAGCGAAGGCAAAACCCAGGGACCGCGAGCACGACACGAGGGCGAAGAGCACTGTCCGGGTCGAGCCCTGGCAAGGACCTCTGCAGGGCGTCCAACGAGTGCCAGGGCATCCAGCACGAGGCCGCGTCCGCGCGCTGCAAGGCCCGCCGGCCCTGCCGCCCCGACGGGGCGAGGGCGAGGAGGAGCGATGGGAGGAGGGCCCGTCGAGGCACAACGGCTGGCGGAGCCTGCGGGCCGAATCGCCGGCGCCCGGCGCGGGCGCAACCGCACGACTGGTCCGACTACCTTTCGGCCGTTTTCCTCTCTGTGGGCCTCCTGGGAGGCCTTCGTCGCCACCACTGGATTCGCCTCGCAATTCTGGTCAGGACACACCCCGGGAGAGGTCCGGGGAGTCTCCCCGAGAACGGCGGCGGGGCGGCAGCAGGATCAGGAGAGGAGGAGCGTCCTGTGGGGGAGGCAGGACAGGCGGCAGCAGGAACGCGCGGGCTCCGTCGGCTCCTCCTCCCTGCGCAGCTCCGGCCAGGCCCTGGGCCTTTTTAACGGGCGAAGAGTATAAAATAAACTTTCCAGCCGCCCAGGGACAGGCGCCCCCCACAGCGAAAAAGTTTATTTTATACCCTTCTTCGCCCGCTGACTCCTTCCTGTGCAGCTCCGGCCAGGCCCTGGGTCTTTGCTCTTCCGTGCCACCATCGTGACGGCAGAGAGGGAAAAAAAAACACAGACACAATTATTCGTCGATTCCCAGAAAATATGCGAAAATATTAGCAGTGGGGGGGAAGACAGAAACCCCGAATATATGGGAAAATATAGGGAATAGGTCTATGTGTGTGTGTATTTCTTTGTGTGTGTTGTGGGCCCCTTCAAACACGAAATGTGAAGAGTGGGCTCCTTCGGCCCCGCGCCCGTCGGAGTCGAGGGTGCCGTCGCGCTGCCCGCCTCCTTTGTGTGAGCAGAGCGCTCCTCGCCGCCGAAGCGTCCCCTCGGCGACGCTCTCCTTGGTATCGCTCGGACGTGTGCATTTTTCCTTCGGCGAGGACCACCGAGGAGCATCCTTGATCATTTGGCGAAAAAGCCACGCACGAAACCTAAAAAGAACACAGGGAATGGACGCTCGCTCGCGACGGCCAGTCTCCGGCTCGCGGTGCCCGCACACTCCTTTTGCCACAGCCATCGCCTCCTCGCGGCCGATCTGGTTCCCGTCGGCCTTGCAGCACCTGAAGATTCTCTCGCTTACTTGAACCACGACCGGGATATTCTCGAGGCTCGCCGTGTTCAAGTGGTTCTCGATGGCCTTGAATTTGAAGTCATCCTGGACCATGACAC